GCACTAAAACTGCACCCTGGGGTGGATCCAAACCGCAGAGCAAACAGGGAGGAGACTTCCCTTCCTCAAACTCGCTGAAAACTATGCAAGTGACTCAGTAAATGTCCTTCTGAGTCAGCACTGAAACAGAATTCCGTCTGATTTACAGTGCAGATAAAAGACGGTAGGATTGCTCTTAAAGGATGATCCATGAACGATACCCCGAGGGTGTCCGGTCACTAAAACCCAGGTAACTCTTGCACAACCCAGGCTGAACTCCTGCTCCAGCCCTCCTCTCCCTCTGTTCAAACACAGACCCGTCCCAGCCCGGCTTTACTTCCTCACAGAGCAGGGAAGGTCACGTGGCTGCAAATCCCATTTGTACAAAATAAGCAGATAAATAGATTCCAATTTTAAAATAAGTTTTAATTGGTTTCATTAATTAGTAACTTGTCCTCTATCGCAATAAAGCAGAGTGTAGCAGGTTTGGAAGTTGTGGAGTGCTGAAATTTGGAGTCAGGCTGAATGAAAGACTATGTACAATACACATCAGCTTTCTGTTGTGTTGTAAATTTATTCTCGTATTTTTTACCATTTATTCATCCCAAAAGACATATTGCATATTTGGAACATTTTAAAGTAAGAGCCACTGTATTATTCAAGACAAGAAGTAGTTTTGTCACATCAAAACTGATGACATACTCAATAAAATTATTTTCCAGAGCAAGAACTCCTTACAAGAAATATAAATAGAATATAAACTTCATAAATGATCTAGCATGAAAAGATTAAAATAGTAAATCCATTCCATACTGAAGGCAGTCTCATGGTGTGTGTGTTGTGTTTCTAAAAAAAACAACAAACCATCATTTCCCAGCAGAGGGCACTGAAACAAATACGGGCAAGTTTTGGTTAAGTTTATTCTAACAGAACAGAATGAATTGACCACTTCAACCTTTTGTCTGAAGTTACTGAGCTAATACGATCAAGTAATAAAAAGTTACTTTTAGTTTAACCCAGGCTTTGGATTTGTTCATCAGACACGATGAAGACACCACACGCTTGGAAGCACATTTGCATTCTCAATGTATCACCCGACACAGTACCAGAATTCCACCTCCCTACCGACACCTCCATCCCCACAGCTGAAATCATTTCACCGAGAAGCTCCACCACATCCCCACTGCCACGGCTGCCAAACGCCCGAGCTCACGCTCTGCTGGGCCACACGCAAGAGCCATCCCAGAACAGCCACTCCACACACGCACAGCCCTCGGAGCGCCAGAACCGCCACACACCCAGCACTGGCAGCGACTGAGCCAGAGTGGGCACACCCACAGATCCAGCGGATCATTTCGGATGGGCAAGGCCTCGGAGAGGGAAGTGGCACTAATGGGCAACCAACATGATGGGGCTGAGGGAAGAGAGTAAAGTGGCTCACCTTGGGAAAAGGACTGGCTTTGCTCCATCCTAAGATCTACGGGAATCAGAGCAATCTGTGGGAAGCAGTCAGCACAAAATTCAAGAATGTAGAATAATTCGTGCCTGTCGGAGCCTTTTAAAATTCCACTTTTTTATGTTAAAAATAAAGGAAAAAAAGAGTTTATTTGTGTTGTTAAAGCAAGGGTTCTGTAAATCATGGCATTCCAATAAAAGTGATCACTATCCTACTATCACTGTAACTAATAATGTGGATTACAGAACAGCTGACAGATGGCAAAAACTAAGTGAAGGAATTATTCCATGAATCTTTTCCCTACTGTGCTTCAGGGATCTGGTTTTGGCTCACTACTGTTCAAGAGTGTATGACCAATAGTGTAGAAGAGCTTCAGTAATCATCCCTGTAAAAACCTGAAGGGAAAAAAAACCCTCTCAAGAGCTGAGCAGTCATGGGAACAGGTTGCAGCCTTGGAATGCTGCCTACAGTGATTTTCACCAAACAATATTGCAAGGAATACACTGATTTGATTCACAAGATGAAAATCCAGATGCTAGAAGTCTGTGAATCCTGAAGTAAGTTCTGGTAGACAGTCATCTGGGAATACCAGAGCAGGATATAAAGCTTATTGTCTATTTATATGATGTCAGTAAGGTAATTACTGTAAGGACATGTTCTGTTCTGGCATCTAGTCTTCAAAAAAAGAACATTCAGAAAATAAAAAATAGTTTTAAAAGCTGACAACAAAAACTGGAGGGATGAAGAAATAAAAATTAAGAAATTCAATCCATTCACATAAAGTAAGCTTGGAAGGTATGACCATGGCATGTCAAATCCCTAGATCAGGATGACATTTGCAGCAGAATATCCTCAGAGATCTACTGAAATCCAATTTTTGGGAGCCAAAGCAAGATGAACCCAAACACAAGGCTGGATTTTGTTTTGGGTTTTTTTTTTTTTTTTTTTTTTGAAAGGACAGTAGTTGCTCACATAACTTACCTACAGAGAGTGATCCTTTTTCTTAAGTCCTTAAAGCAAGAATTCTTTTTTTCTAACACATGCTTAACTTCCTGACACTCTGCTGCTGATGTTGAAATCAGTCAGTGAAGTTTTATGATTGTGACATCCAGAAGAGTGATGGGTTCCCTCTACCTTCCCAAATGCAACTTGAGCCCCTCTCTAATGGCCCTTAACCCCCAAACCTGGGTTTCAATTGCTGATTCACCTCCTCCTGCTGGAAGCCTCTAGTCAGATACTGGTAGCACCCAGTTTTTAAAGCAGTAGTGGGTGCAACCCTCTCTTCCAAGCAGAACCTGGCTCTGTGGGCAAACCTCTGCTCACTTTCAGTAAATTGATACAAACTAAAAACCCAGGAAGGCAGAAAAACCCCAAACCTGCAGCCCAATTCCCCACCAGAGGAGAAAGAAGAATTCTGTGTCCATAAGCATGTGAGAAGAGGGACTGGGCTAAGTAAATCAGCTGGATCTGGGGAATTCAATGCAGCTGTTTGCTGGAAGCAATCACCCTTCAAATAGAGGTATAGACGAGAGAGAAGGAAAGAATATGGCTTGTAATTCTCTTATATGATCCATTGCTATTAAAAATGGAGACTCAAAATCTTGAGGCAGTTGCTAATGAAACACTAATGGTGGATGGACAGCCTGAGGGGAGGGGAACCCCAGCCAGCCCCAGTTGCAGAGCCAGTGCAAACAACAGTGGCTTCCCAAAAGCCGTTGTGGTGACCTGATGTTTGAAAGCACTCAGATGCTGCTGGTGGAATGAACTCGGCAGTGGTTTTGTCATGGAGAAGGTTCAAGCTGAAGAAATGATTCTTGCAAGTGGTAGAACCCTATGGATTAAGGCAGGAGACATTCAAAATCTTATGTAAAGCACACTGAAATTCTGGAACAGGTAATATACTTTAGAAAAATAACGTAGGAATATACCCCAAAAATACATGCACAGGTGATTCTACCTTCGCTTCAGCCATCAGTCATTTGATACTAAGTCTCACTGTTATATGAGAACACTTGGCAATACTCTGTGCAGGCTCCCAATTCTCCATTTAGCACCAAAAAATCCAGAGATTCTGCAAGAAGGATGAGGCTAAGACTCTGGAAGAATGCATTTAATTCAGCTACAAGGAACAGGAAAAAAATCACACTGTATTTTTTTACATACTATATATTTTTAAATAAAAGGCCTGCTGTTGTAGTCCCTATTTAGGTAGAATTCTTTTAGAATTTAAAAAAGGTGCCTCCGTCAGGACACCAGGACAAACCTGAAGAAGTGTTCAGATATTCTACTACAGTAAATCTTCCAAATTGAACTAGCAACTGATAAAACAACCCTCGAACTTTTCTAGTATGAGGAACCTTTTTAAAACCTCAAACTTCAGTGCAAGCTCAGAGCACTTGCTTTACAAGTAGAGCTTCTTACACGTGTGAAAAGCTGCTCGTTACAGTAACTCCAAGGCTTAGCTAATCAAGCCTCACAGAAGAAAGAACCTAAATTTGAATGTAAAAGAACACACATATTTACCACTTAAAAAAAGGAGCAATGAAAAACCAGAAAGATTTGTGCAAGGAGTGCTTGCAAAATAACTCCACTTGCTGTTCTGGTATCGAAGCACTGAAGAAGAGCAGCTTCTCAGTTACCCAACCCTCCTCCAGGGATTCTCACAATATGAGAGTGAACTGTGCATTTTAGCTCATTCCTCATTATTTTGAACATGCAATTGTCAAGAACTCCTGGGAAAGGCACTGTATTAGGGAACCACAGGTATACTTGTAAGCACAAACCCCCATGCAATGTGTACTATGTGTAGATAAATATGCACACATGCACAGAATGAGATTAGAAATATTTCTCCCTTAACACAACCGTGTTGGCTCTCAAGCTGCAGCTCTCTGATGCTCTAAAGATTTCTGAAAACTCAACGTTAGTCTTTAATACATGAACAAATTTGTGTCCCAGCAGCATTGCTACGGTTCAGGTCCCTCCCAGCTGTTCCCAGGGAACTTGGCACCTTCCCTGCTGCCAGGCAGGAGGGACCCCTGCTCCACTGCACCTCCTCACACCATGTCTACATGCAGGGAGGAGAGAGAGAATCCACTGAAAAAGAAACAGTAGCTGAAAGAGGGACAAATAGAGAGTCTGAGATGCTGAAGAAGTGAGGAGGCAGCATCAGGTCCCTTCCCCCAGCACGGCTTTTTTTCCCCTCTAATGCCCAGGACCTGCAGCCACTGCTCCTCCCATCTCACCACCCTGCCCTGCCACCAGCACAGCCACCCTTCAGCTGCGAACACCTTTTTCCTCCCCCCATGGAAATCTGCTCCTGAGCCTCCCACAGTTCTCTCCTACCCCATTTCTTTCTGAAAACCACAAACAGGAGAGGGATCAGCCAGACAAAAATTTAAAACCAGTGCAAATGTGAAATACAAGGTAAAAAAAAAAAAAAAAAAGTCTTTTGCTTCTACTGGACATGCTGCAGACACAGTGCCTCTAACTGTGGCAATATCTAGTGCAAAAGAAACTTAGCATGAATCTCTTGTTTTCAAATGACATTCAACTCAAACATGCATAGGGAGAGTAAAGTTATTTTATTAAATCATGCACATCACGTGTGTTAGTGCAAATAGTTTAATCTGTACTCCAGAAATTCTATTGTATTTTTATATCTTTACAAAATAGATTTAAAACAATTATTTACTTTAAAAAATGTAATTCTGAAGTTAAGCATTTCAGAACAATATTTGCAATAACCTATATACAAGAGGTACTAAGTACCACTGGCATACGAGTGTTCTGTGGTTGGGTGGCTTCCTGCAACTGAAAAGGATGAAATGAATGAACTAAATGACATTATTTATTTTCTACAAGTCACTTGTGGACTATTTTTTCCAACTAATAATCCTCCCATTAGCAAATCCCATGTAAATTAAGATAGAACTTTTAATTAAAGGACAATGACCCTTAAAACCTCACAAAGTAAATTATATACTAAATTTCTATTTAATTATTTAAACTATCTGTCGATTGCCATAACATCCTTTAAAGCCAATTGAATTGCTGAGATTACCTCCCTATTTTGAAGTTTCCTTTAGCAGAGCCATTTTACTTTACCATTCTTTAGCATAGTATTTAAGTCTTTAATAAACTTTTTTGACAGAACTGTTGAGCTGAACAAGACAACTACAGTCTACATTGAATTCAGCACTAACTACAGTGATTCCCACCAAAAGTCAGCAAACAGCAATAGTTATAGTACTTAGATAAGGAAAATCAACTTTATAATGGGGACCACTGCATCATACTTACAGCCATGTGATGAGGATGCACAAAATTTTACTACCAAATTAAAATCATCTTCACCTGACCATACTTCAGCAGGCATATGATTCCAATTCTGTAGCATTTTATGTATCTTAGATGTTTTCAGCTAATCACAGACGTGCTGTAGCAGTTCTCTTAATAAAGTTACGTCAACAAAAGCTTATCTAAAGAGCTGCTCCAGCTCAAGTCAGAGAGTATCAAATGACTGAAAAAATAAACTGATACATGTGATATGTGAGAAGGTATTCATACTTTTAAAGAACGCATCTCTTTAAATATATGAAATTTAATAAATTACATTCAAACTAAAGTTAACGTAAGTTGAATCACTGCACTATGTCCATCAAATGACCAAGTACTTGCTCCCAGAAACACCTCAGCTCACTCAAGAACACACACATGCTACACTCGCACACGCGCACACCGAATACTTCAGGCTGCTCTTCACCATCAGTATCTCTATCTCTTTAAGGCTGGACATGAATTGTGTTTATTCCCCAAACCCATCAATAAAGCAATCCTTATTGAAGAAAAATATGCTTCCTTCGAAAGGCGTGGTAGGAGAAGTTTTCTTAAAGTCTTGTTCCCAACAGCTCAGTGACTGACAGCAAGTAAAATGATACACTAGTTTAAAAAAAAAATAGATCGTACTGAAAGGCACTGAGCACACTGCATCTGTTTCCCAAGTATCTGCAAAGTTACTTGGCTTGGATGTCCAAATCAGAAATGTATTTTCCTCTTCTTTCTGGCAATCAGATTCTAAAGTCAGTGTCCACAACCCTAGCCATTATAAATAATTTGGTACCAAGAAGCCTACTTTAGGCCACCATTATAGTATTCAGAACCCCAGCATACTAATTTAAAACTTGCATGAAGTTGTAAGCAAAAATATTGCTCACAGTATGATGAATCACAATTTTATTCCCTCTTTATAGACAGATACATTTTATACAGTTTAAAGCAAATGACCCTACTGCTGTTCTCACGCAGAGCTGTGCTGTATTAAGAGGTAAAAAGGAAGAGAATTAATCTTTTTTCCCTCAGTATATGAATGTTGCCAGCTTCTAAAGGGAGGACGGTGTATGGATTCAACAACAGTTCTCATGGAGAAGCTCTGGTTAGGCCTGGGTACAGCACCACGGCTGTCACAGCAACCAAAGCTGCCATCACAGGCATCCAAGGCCATTGTCTCTGTGTGGAGAGAAAAAAGAAATCAATATCATATCTGTTCTGATTCATACTAATCAGTTTACCTCGTGGTTCCTGCAAGTCTCGAGTACCTGTTGATAGGCATCACTACATGTTACCCACGAGCCCTGCTGCAGGCTAGTCCTGACTCGGAGCAGACAGCAAACCGTGTTCTCTAGCACAGGGAACTCCACAGCTCTTCAGGACTGAGGATCAGCAGGAGAACGTTTGGCAGCTCCATTCCCAGGTTCCTTAGTGTAGGCACCTCAGAAATCTGCTCTTAAACATGCGAGGGCTTGAGGTGTTTAAAACACGCTTTGTGCCGAGTCATCGCTAGACACGGGTTTGTTCAGTATTGAATCTTTAACTTTGGAACGTTCAAATCCAGATCTGTGGCGTTAGTTTGGAGCAGATCCTAACAACATCATTTTCAATGGACTGTCACAATATCGCATGACAACAATGGCATTTCGAGAGGAGGACACACTGAGAGACATTAGAGAAAATGCAAGCTGAGAGTTCGGAATACAAACCAACCACCTATTTCTTGTCTTTTTTTCCCATCTTTTCATCAGCAATAGTGAGAAAAATTAAAGTGTTTAGAGCCAGAGAGGAATCTCTTAGTCCATAGATAGGAACCAAAGCTTGTTGATTTTTATTATTAGAGGCAAACTCTTCATTTTCCACAGTTAATCAAGCAATTAAGTTTTCTTACAAGCCCTAGCATCACAGCATTGTGCAAAAGGCAGCCCATTTGCTGAAGGCAAACTGAGACCGAGTTAGAAGAGGCACGTTCAGAACCAGTTAGGATGAAATTAATTGTTAGAATTAAAGAAATCACATCGATGTTAAATGATTAGTTGATCGCTCAGCTCGTCAGTTATCAACAGGATGGCATAATAAATGAAGGGTTTGCTTCAGGTAAAGAAATACCTGTGAGCATTTGAACCATGCACTATTTCATACAGAAATGGCACAAACAGGTGAGAGGGACAAACATACATTGACTGAACAGTAGTGCTTGTACCTTTCGCTACCACAATGGGCCGTAACACCAATACAGGAAAGCCAGGATTAGGCCGATGAATACGGCTGGGACGGGTTGTAATATGGAAGGCTAAAGAAGGGAAGGGATATTAAAAATCACTTTGTGCTATAAAAATCAATCAGGTAAAGATGATTTAGAGAGGGGAAAATAAGTCAGTAAGTTTTGTTTTAATTGAAATGTATTAAAAGACATCTAACACATTGCAGCATTATCTAATCTGGTATACAAAGTTAGTACACCATTCTACTCGAATGAACAGGGATGTTTAAAAATAAAGGGAAGTAAGCAGAAAATGTTCCAAGAAACCTCTTGTCACAACTTGGAATTTAGCACTTGAAAATAATACAAATCTTAAACTGATTTGCCTGTATCTTATTTATAGTTGGTTTTAGTTTTTCTAAGTGAGAGGAAATCCCATCTGGATTTCTTGAGGTAGACAGACTCACACCAGATTTTGAATTTTTCAGGTATTTCTTCATTCCTTGCTAGTTAGCCTTTCCCATTTTCCATCACCAGCCTCCAGGAAAAACAATCTTTTTCCTCCATTAGTGAGTCAATTAACTATGTCCACAGGCAAACCCAGTAGTTCAGACATTTCCATGAGATTGTAACGTGACCGTACAATCAACACTCCGTTACTATAAAGGAGAGAAGCACATTTCCATCAGAGATACCATAAAGCTCAGCATCTCTGCCAGGTCAGCAGCCTTGTGACCAAATGCAATTCTGAGAATGGATCAAATGCTGCAGCTGGGCTGAACTCCAGCTGAGCAGCCTGCAGGGTTCCTTCAGCTTATGGCCGCCTCAGAACCAGCCACACGTTTTCTCAGCTATGTTCAATCAGCTGTAAACCACTGCATGTTCTGGATGGACAGCCTCTATCCATGACAGGATAAATTAAAGGCAAAAATGGACCTAATTTTTTTTTAAGCTGTCCTTGGAAGACATCTGCTTTCTCTGTCTCCTAGCCTACATATTTGTGCACACACAAAGACACACAGGGGTAAGTTCAAACCATGCCAAATATTTTTAAAACTTCTTTTGTGCTGAAGCTACCTTGATTTTTGTTCGGTCAAATAAATAAACAAATATAAGTTCGAGGTTGAATTTTCTAAAACATTGTGATTTGTAAGTAAAATCTCATCCTGTTTGAATTTGCAGAAGTCATTTAATCATAGAACCTCCAATATGGTTCAAAACACAGGAATATTGGAAGGCATTCTAGTCTCTGCCATTCAGTTACTTTTGTTTTTTTTCAATCAAGGCAAATATTTAATAGACATGTGTAACTATTGAAGTAATTTTCATGCAAGATTATTTTTGTGTCACTGGTGCCACAAATCACAGTGCCACCTTCCCACAGAAAGCATTGTTGGCAGAAATAATCACAGCAGTGTTCACAAAAGTGCCAGAAGTTTAAATCAACCAGAGCAGCTGATGTTCTCAAACCATTCACATCATTAAATCTGTCGTATGAAGCGCACCAGGAAATAACCAGTGACTACAAGCATGCAAGCACGAGTAGTACACCACACTGCTAAGCGTGTCAAGAACACAACACTGCAAGGTTTTTAAAAGTAAAACTGAAGTATAAAAACTTAAAATTTAAATGATATCCCAAATGGAGTACAGAAGCATTGTCTTTTCTACCATTTGTCAGTTCACTGAACAAGTCTGTGGATTCATTTTTTTTTGGTAAGGTACACACATTCACAGCTGTGGCATCTTGGCAAATGTTTGAAACCGATGATAAATATCCACTCCATCCAATGAAATTGCCTCCAAATAATTAAATTTTTCCCTTCACAAACTTATCAATATATAACAAATCTTCTTTTTGTCAAGGAGCATTCACTAGGTGCTTTAACAGAAATGTGCATCTTTTATTAGAATATGAAGGTATGCAAACTCAGACACAGATGGGCTGCAAAAGGAACAAACGCCACAGTGGGAAGCCACTTTCTGTTCCTCGGAAATGAAGTAGCAGATAATGATTCCAGCATAAGGGGACTTCAAAAATTTGACCTTGGAACTCAGCCCAGTATCCACGGTGTCTGAAATAATCCCCAAGATGGACATGTTTTACATTACTGATGGGGAGCAGTGTTTGCTGAACAGCCAGTTTGTCCTGCAAGTCCTTACATGGCTGGATGCTCTTCATCACACCCTGACCTCCAGGCTTCAACTGTCATAACTAACTCCTCCTCTGGAAGCAGATTTTGGCAACTGCTGTGGTTCCTGATTTTATTTACTTACCTCTACTTCTTCCTAAAATTTCCTTTACCTTACAAGCATTTCCACTGTCATCAGGTGTGTCATTTCCCTTCACGGTATGTCTTTCCTTTACTATCCTCCTTTTCCACTGATCACTTTAATTCTGAGGTTAATCTTCTTAACAGAACATGAAATCTCACCTTCACTATTATTTATTCAGTGTGCTCTCTGCTACTACAATGGGGTGGGGTTTTTTGCTGGTTGTTTTTGACTTCTGCCTTCTTAAGAAACTCAGTATGATCTGAGCACTGCAGAAGAGTTCTAAGCAAGAATCAGGTTCCAAGAGCATTGTAACATTATAAAATCATTTTTCTGAAAATATAGCTGAAAAAAAAGTGAGAAGGGCTTTGAATTCTTTACATCTTTGACAGCTCTACGATGTTAGAGGTTCATATTCAGGAATTGATTATGGCAAGGGTATTCATACCATCTTTTGGGCATCTAGGAGTCAGCTGATTTTAGAGGATGGGGTACTGTAAAATTTCTTTGTTGTAAGAAAAACAGTTTTCTAAAAAGCTATTACAGAGCATTCACTGTTCTCCTGTTTTGTACCGTCCACTACAGGAGTCGTTGACCCTGCACTGAGCATAGAGGCAGCAAAGGAAAACAACAAACCAGCCCTCTCAGAGTAGTGAGGTACCTAAAAATAAGGCCATGACCCCCTTATAATGTGTCTGCCACACCCCTAACGTTTGGAAGATTTCAGAACCTCAGTATATATAAAAAAGTTGTCTCTAGCCGTAAACTCAGTTCTAATGATACAACCTCTCAAATTAATTGCAATAGAAACCAGTATTTTCATTAGTGAATAGACAGGACAGTTCAACTGTACTGCTTAAAGCATGAGCCCATCGGGAATAACCAGTTAAGAAGAATGAGCAAGAGTAAGGAGGGAACATCCATTGTAATAAACACTATGAAAATAAAAGCATCTTGAAAAAGGTTGCTTAATTCATTTGGATACAGGTTTCTAAGCTTTTACCTCTCTATCATTTTTTGAAATCAAAGAGTTTCCTTAGTTCTGGTTCACTAGCATTTAAGCCATATGTTTTCAAGAGAGCAGATATCTAAGGACATACTTAAACCTGTCACACGACTGTAAATTGAACTTTCATGTGTAACTGTAAGAGTGTAATGACCTGCAGATTTGCACAGGTAGGACCAGAATGGAATTTTGCATATATATATATATATATATATATGAGTACACAGCCATTTTTTTTTTTTTAAGGCCATCCTTTTCTATTTGACTCTTCCATATTCCTTCAATCAACAGCACTGCCAGTGGCATAATCTGACTCCCCCCCACATTTTGCACAGACTTACGTTGTTTCCTTTTTCTTGTAGCAGCTTCAGGTTCTCCTTACACTGTTTGAGCTCTTCTGTCAGTGACTGCTTTTCCTGCTCAGCCACCTCATACTTTGCCTTCAGCTCCGAGAGCACGGTCTGTGTTCTTTCATACTAAAGACAAAGAGAGAACAGTCTGTGGACCCCTGGACACCCAGCACATGCTGACATTTGCTTAGTGCACAGCTTCCTTTCTGTCATCTGCCTGGCATAACTTGCCTTGGATCAGTACACTCTTTTGTCAAAGAAGCAGTGAAGAGTTTACATTTCCTTTTTTTCCTAAATGAAGATTTTTGCCTGACTTGAAGGGCTAGAATTACTAAAACCAAGGAAACAGAAAGTAAATGCAAGGCCTTAATTAATGTCTTATACCAATTATTCATTATCATACTGGAAAGGACTGTAAGAAGTAGGAAGACAAAACAGGGGAGCACGGTGTCCTTCACATTTGAATAGTTGTCTTACATTTAGGCTGCAGCTTTAATCCCTACACCCAGCAAATAGGTGCAGAAATCAGAACTGTCTATCAAGTAAATCAAAACCTCTCCCCACAGGGCAAACTCAAACATAAGGCAGGCATTAAAAAAATATTATGCCTTGTGCTGTCATGCCACAATCCTCAGTGTGGGTCACCTGCAAACAGTACTGGGTGAATGTGACACATGTTCCTACAGCATGGACAGCTTTTCCTTTTTCAAACCCACATTCCACTTTTTCTAGAGATCATAAGTTTTCTAGTAGTCCTCCTGTCAGGGACAGAATCAATGACTTTCAGTGCTGGCATTTACCACAAATTTCAAAGATTAGGCATCTTTGCAAACACATCTGATTACAAAACCACTGAATAACATGACCGGGTATTTCAAACTCTGAAAATTGTAAGGAATGTGACATGGATGAATTAACAAAGAAAAGTACTGCAAAAGAAACTAAGAGCAGTGACTGGGGGAACACTCAAAATGCTCCTAAAAGGAAGCAAGTGAGTGTTGGAAAATACGTCCTTCTTCCAGACAATCCTTAGATGTCAGGCAGATGAAATACATGCTCAAAATGCTGACCCTTATGCACTTCCAAGTCATCTTCAGCAGTCCAATGATCCAGTAAGACGAAAGGAGATCTTTGTAAAGATTGTATAGTCCAACTCAAATAAGAGTTTAAATCTAACCAGGAAGATCAGACTGACTAAAAAAGAACCAATTTTGGCTCTAACAGCCAGTGAAGCTCTAGACCATGATGTTCAGAAGACTCTGAACAAGAATTTACCCATCTGAACAGCTTAAAAGTAAATTCACTAGGGTAATGCATCAAAGTAAAGGTTAGGAAGGGCCTGATGAACACAAAAGTAATTTTACCTGAAATCTTCCTTTTTTAGATTTAACTGCCAGTTTATATTTTCTTAGCTACCATTAAGTGGTTGCAATAAAATTTCATTACTACAAAATTTTTCTTGTTCTTTTAGCTCACAAGTCAGTCACCAAGCATTACAGTCCCTCAAAATGGAAACAGTATTTTGTGTTACCTCTTTCTGAACATCTTTTGCTTGACTCTCAGCTTCACTGAGCTGAGTTTTCAGGCTAGCTGCATCCCGTTGATGTTTTTCTCTCAAAGATCCCATCTGATTTTCCAGCTCCTTTCGGGACATTTCAAGAACGCTGATATCGCTGGTTAGCGCTAAACTCTGTTTCTGAGAGCTGCAAAACAAAACCATATTGATTCCTTATGGATCTTGAATTTAAACAGGCACTTTTCATCCTCCAAAGCTTCACACATTATTTTTAATGTGTAACAGTAACAGAAGTACAGATCTTTGTCTCTTTGTACACAGTATGGCAAAAAAAGGCTGGCCACGATTTTCCTTTAAAATGTATGTCCACAGTTTAGTGTGTATAACTAACCACAATCTATAATTCAAATTAGTTTTAACTAATATTTATTTTCTTATTTTACATTTTATTACTCAGAGTATTTGCTATTATATACTCCAAAGTATTCTGAAACAAATTTGTAATAAGCAGTCTGTCCAAGGTTGTTCAAAGCATTTCATTTGTTTGCACATGTGCTTCTGTTTACTCCACCTGCATAAGCTGATAGCCAGTATGTTCAGCTGTTTAGTGCAATTGTATAATAATCATAGAGAGCTCGAAATTAGGCTATTAAAAAATCACTGTAATAGCCAAGTAGTGTTAATTCATTCCTGTGCAAGAAAAAATAAGGAACAGATCTTGGATATCTCCATTATGCAAATCCTGTAACTTCTCGTGTGACCTTGTGTAGGCAAAAAACAGAAATGAGGGCGTAATGAATCAAAAAAGAAAGGTTTGAATACTGAAAAATAATACATTACTTCTTGAAATGTTTTACTGTGAGACAGTTTCAATTTTCAATTAGATCTTACAACACTGAGGAAGCCACAAGGGAAAAGAGACCACACAAATATCTAAGCACATCTAAGATGGTAAAATTCAGATCCACAATAAAACAAAGTTGTTGTGCCATATTTAGTCTGTGAATTATATTCCAATATCTGAAACTGAAAAAAAACCCAAAAAAGGCAGATGAGGGGATAAGAGGGGAAGTTGTTTCCAAGCAGATTTGGATGGCCTTGAGCAATGTCACGCGCTCAAACAGCAAAAGAAATACAGTCCAATACAAATTCTCCTGCACTCTAAAAGCCCTCCCAAAGGATATGAAGCCACTTGGGATAAAAGAAGATTTACATTTTCCTCTTAAGAAAAACATGATGTAGAACATGGTTTCTGCCCACCACTACTATTTATGCTGTGACAGGCTATCACAAGACTCTCAACCATTTCAGAATCATCTTCCACCCTAAGCACCAAGAAAATTTGAGGTTAGGAAATCTATGGGGTTTATTATCTTTTAAGTAGAAGGACAACTGTTAAGTCTAAACACTTCCACAGTGCATGCTTCCAAATCCTTATTAAAAGCAGCAAAGTTGGGTTACCTTATGACGATAAAACATGACAAAAGTATTTGTAAAGCAGAAAAACGTCACTTGGGATAACAACTGACATGGAAGTGTTCAGCCCAGTACTCTGATATAAATAAAATCTCTATGCATTTATTGAAACACTATCAGACATGTAGTACCTCTCTTGTGAGGAAAAAAACCACTAAAAAAACTCTTCAGCTACCATGGTACCTCCCAGACAAACCCACAGTGCCCTCACCTAGAAAGCTCCTTCTCTTGTCGCTGAAGTTCAGATGTAAGCAAAGTATTTTCCTTCCTTAGTTTAACACATTCAGCTTCCAGGGCAAGCCACTCTGCCTTCAGCTTTTCAAGTTCACCTGCAATAAATAAAATTTAATTCAATTGAGTAAAATCATGATTGCATCAAATAACACAAGATAATAAATTTTAAAATTTGTTTAAACATTTTTTATATTAAAAATGAGACGGTATCAACAATTTCAGTAAGCCATAAAACACAGTTGTTTGTCTTGAGTGAAGCTTTGCTAGAATTAAAAAGTTGAAAGCTCTCCCTTTATGGGCTTAAATTACAGAAGTGACACAAATCCTCTTGGAAATCTGTGGCAGTGTGAGTCCCTCAAACTGTAAAAGTTTTCAATCTTTTCTAAGTGCAATTATAGTTGGTCCTGATATCAAAGTACCTGAGCTAATTTAGACAATTACTATTTAATGAAACATGCAAAACAGCTTTTGTAATACTACAAGCCTTGACACACATACAGAACTATATATATGTGTGTGTATGTATATATAGAGAGACACAGCAAATGACTGCAAAGGGACAGACCAACAGTGATTTGTGGAACTGTCATTCCCCAGTGAGAGGGATGCTCTGTTAACACCGGTCTGTGACATCTTTTCAAAGTACCTTTTAGGCGAGAGGCCTCTTCCTTCTGCTGATCCTCACACTGCTGGCACCTGAGCTGAAAACTGGCCTGCAGGTCCACAATTTCTTTCTCATAATCCGAGGCATCTTTGCGCCACCGCTCCAGCTCCGCTCGCACCGTCTGCAGCTCTGCTTGCAGAGTGCAAATATCTGTGTCTCGTTCCGATGCTGCCTTTTCTGCTACTTGCTGGAGGGACAGAATCTCATTCTGAGCACTGACCAGTTCGTTTCGAGTGCTGGAAATTTCATTCTCCTTTTCCTTACGAAGGTTCTCAATTTCTTCTTGTAACCTTCGCAGCTGGGCTGGAAAGACACATTAACCTTTGTGGTTTTTAAAACTGTATTTGGAGAAAATCTAAAAAAAACCATAAGTCCCTTTCTCAACTTGTCGTTATTTAACAGGACCAAAGAAGCCCCATGCAACTGAAAAAAATATATTCATCTTGTCAAATGCTGTACTGACAGAGACAGGTATGTGGGCCATGAAACACAGAGTCAAAAGAAATAAAAATGATGCCTGAACAAAGCTGTGCTGTGTGGGTGATGCTACAGTGACTCTCCAAAATCTGAAGCAAGATTTAGATGTAACTTCACTGTAAGCAAAGCAAATATTACAGAACAAGGACATTGGGGCTTCCAGGGACAAGAGGAAAAGGCAGAACACTTCTGTGACAAGACAAACACTTGCAAAGCTACACTGAAATGTCTGCCTGTCCAGCAGTTAACTTGTGATGTCTATAAAAATTTGAGGCACGGGGTCTAATTTCTACTCCACGCTTAACATGTAGTAGAGGAAATTAATATTATTTCTTTGCAAAAAGCCTTTTTCAAAGTGCAGGATGAATTTTGAATTGAAAGGGACAGCTGCACCAAATATACTGAGCTACGTCCTTTAGCATTTACAGCTACTGTAAACGTGCAGCAGGCACGTACACAGAAGGCTGTTTGACATTGCTGCATGAAGCAAACCTTGTAAGTTATTCCCATCCAAAATGGTCTCATTACTAAAGACATCTCTGAGCACAAAGGCTTTTCATTAACACAAGCAAACAGAATCCAGTGCAAAGCGCTGGACGAAAAAGTACAGTACAGAGGAAAAAATTACAGTTAAACCCCTGACTGATGGGAGCAAAGTGTTTAATTTGCTGTGGTTCTGGTTTACTTTTTAAAGAACACGTATCAGAGTTCACATATATTTGACTGATTTTAACATGCAAAAAAGCAGTTATTAAATTAAAGAGGAATTATTCTGAGGAGAAAAGGTAAAAATCTTCACAGGACCTGAAAACCTAACGTGAGATACAGGATCACACACTTGAAGTTACATGTTTCAAAAGCAAAGGGCCATATGAGGACAGTGGAAAGCATGGGGTGGATAACAAGGCTGAGCAACCCTCCTCGATTACTTGTATTTATTTCTGTCCTCTCAATCCATTGCAGAAGATGACAGGGAGAATGTGAGTTTAACTGTAAGCTGATACAGCATCAAAGCTACTCAAGAGACACCTGCACTCTCATGACAATTATACTTGGTATTTTTCAGTAGCTACATACACAGTAATATAGAAAGAATTCATATACCAGTAGAAACTTTGCTGTTAGTTGATGTACAGCAAAGAAGAAAAATTCAGCTTTCTTTGCTCTCCTTTAAACTCAAGCAAGACATTTAGCTCATTAGAGAAACTAAGGAACATATGAATTACCCAATTCCCCACTTAGGAGGAAAACAACAGCATGGGAAAAATATGGTAGTTATTGTATTTTGTAATACATAACAGTTATTATAGACAAGAGTAAGTTAGATTGCACAGCAATTCTGTATGAAATGAAACAGTCTACCTGTTCCATAACACCTGCAGCATGATGGATTTTTAAATAAATGTGTGCAACATGAGGCTTTCTACCACCTCCTTTGTTTGAAAATAGTTTCTACAGGCTTGTACTGTAACAAATAGCAAACGAAGAAGTGGATGAGAACCACCTGACAGTAATACAACACCTGGTGTAGCAACAACTGCCTTTCCATGCATCCTTGGAAGCCCTGAGCCCACCAAAGTAATGGGCTCTAAAACACAAAGAACCACGACTTGCTAATAAAGCAGCTTCCTGAGCAAAGGAATGCAAACTATATCTTCTAGGTATTTTCTTCATCAAGCCAAGCTAAATTCCTGCTTCTTGGTACTGGCAGCATTTCAAAGAAATGTGTTCTTTGCCTCCATCTGTGTTGCTGATGAACAACTCTCCTTTTAAATGTTCAGGAGTGAAAACAAGCAAAGTGTGACGGAAAATCCAAAGATACACAAGAATTTCTAAAGCTTGGTGGAGTTGTAGAAATAACTTACACATGAAAATTACTACTAAGAATCTTGGAATGGTTTCTGAAGCGCTGGATATAATTTGAAAGGACAATTAGAAAGAAAACTTCCATTACATCTCTCATTTATATAAGCCATTACCTCATCTGAATTGAATGCTTCACTTCTTTTATTTATTTTTTTTTTTTTTAATAAGGCCCAACAAGTTACTTGAATTTCCTTGCTCTACTTATCTGTTCATACAACGAACTTCACATGTAGAGACACAATCTCAGTTGTTTCTGTGGCCCTTTCTCTTCTCCATGACAAACATAAAAAGCCACTGGCTGGGCTAAACCCTGATTCCATGAAAATACTTCAAGAAATGTCTCTGCATGAAGCTGCCAGGTTGTTTTTTTTTCCCTCCCTACAGTTCACAGAAGTTGCCAAGGGAGAATCCTGACAACTTTTTTGAAATTGCGAGCTGTGTCACACCCTAAATGTTTGGGAAGCAGCAAGCACACAACCAACACCAGAGCAGTTTGAACTGCAATGGAGAGAGAAGAGGAGGAAACATCAGCAAGACCTCACTTGAGAAGGATCCAGAAAACAAAAAAGTTCTGAACCAAAAGGCATCTTGCAGTTCAGTTTGGGTTTGTCAGGGTTCTACTCTGATTCTCTTTTTTTGAGAGGAAAAAAAAGATTAATTTTTTCTGTATCGAATTAACTATTAAATTCTATTTTCTAACTTTTGTTACAGCATTTGTCACTTGGAGAGTTTTCATTACTAGCAGGATAACATTCAAAATCAAATTGCTCCTCGCATTCTGAAGACTAAACCTTCTGAGTGCTCTGAAGGTCATCACAGTCACAATCTCTGGATCATTCAGAACTGAGGAAGACTGAAGAGAAATGAAGCAGAAGTATTTATTACAGGTTACATCTTGTGCACTTTCTAAGTTACTATTAGAACCATAGGAATTGACAGGAAACATTTCACAATAAAATTCAAAGATATGGTGAAAGAAATCAGATTTAAAACATACCCTCAATTAACGTTTCCCTTTATTAGTTATTATGATGCCACAGAGAGTCAAAGCTATATATTTTCCCTAAAGAGTGGGGAGAGAAAAAATAAATTCCTACCTTGCAGAGCATTTATTTGCTTGTTAGATTCTTCAACTTGCACTCGATATGCTTTTCTCTCTTCTTCCAAGAGTGCTATAAATAAAAGTGAAAATGTGCCCCAGAGCCTTTGTTAGTAACAAGTATTTCAGCTGCGTGATTGATTTTAGTCACAACTTCCCCTTAAATTAAAAGATTAACCAAACATATTATTTCAGGAAGTTATCAAAGCTAGTAACTGTGTCAGTAGTTTAATAAAAGTTAATGTTAAGAAGTCATTCCATTATTGTGGTAGTATTACAAGTAATTTGAAATTAATGTAATCTGTTGCCTGCTCCGAAAACTCCGTGTGTGCTTAAATGCCAACTGGTGTGGGAGGAGAAAAAAGAAACAGCTGTAAATACACCCCATAGAGAACACTGAACAATATGCAATTCAACTGGACTACACTATTTCCTGTCAAAAACAACCCACAACTTTACTGAGGGTAATGATACAGCCACGTAGCTGGGAGGATGATCTAAACACACCCCATTACGTGCATTACCTGACTGAAATGCAGATTAATTGGTACCTGTCAATAAATATATACTATAAGGATAAAATACACAGAGTTCAAGTATGTTTTCAATACTATGAAAATATGTTGGTTTATCTTGAACTAAAAAGAGCTGAATTGAACTGCATAGAGTTCAAAAAAAAAAAAGAAGAGAAAAAGTTCAGAAAAAAAAAGCACAAAAGTTTCTGACATTCTGTACAAGAGATGTGAATGCTATGAACCAGATTTATCCAACAGACAGTCAGCAAAACTGGACCCCCTTTTAAGACTACCTGAGAAATACAATTTTAATGAATACCCTGCATAGCCAAGTTGATCTGGGTCTCACCTTGAAGTTCAAAGCATTTTTGTTTACTTGTCCTAGCTAGCTCTTGGGCTTCAATCAGCTCCTTGTGCAGCTGCTGAATTTCTTGCTTAGCCTCAGTCTCTGATTGTGCACCCTGCAATTCATCTGATAAAAGAACATTTTCTTTAAATCATCAATTTGAACAACAGTTTCATTTGCACTGCCACGTGATGACTGGTGACTTTTTACTCAAATCTTCCAAAGTTAGTTAAAGTAAACTCAGAACTGGATTAGGTAAATATTAGACAAAATATTAATATACTTAGAAAAGGAGTAAAACATATGCAAACTTTAAAACATTCATGATATATAACATGCAGTATAAAACACAAAATAACAAACAAGAACTAGAGAGTTTTTAAAAACACTGTATAGCTTGGCAAGAATTTCTGGATTGACAAAACCGAGGGACATGTTTACAACTTCTCTCCTTTAGAAGGAAGCCACTCTAAGCCCGTCCCTGAGCAATGATCCTGCACCCCCTGTTCCAAACACACCCAGCCCAGCCTCCTGCTGAGGCTGCTAATGCCCAGCAGCTGCAGGGATCAGCCACAGAGCTGCTCTTAAGGGGTTTGCTACTGCCCCCCTCCCTCTGGGGACCAACAAGGAAAGGAAAAAATTAGGGAAGTTTTCTAAAACAAAGTTAAGAGAAAGAAGAAAAGTCCAGCCTCCTTATTTCATTCTTAGTGAATGCTAAAATAAATTTTGCCCTTGCATTTTTTTTTCGCTATGTCTTAATTAGGTATATCTTTGTTATGATCAGATATCTATGCATGCTATTTAAACTTTAAATAAAAACATTTGCTCTTCCCGTAAGTTTTGTATTAGCTAAAATGCATATGGAATGCCTCTGGGGTTTATAAGACATGACTTGCAGTCACAGACAAATTAAATACTTTTATAGCTGAAGTTTTGGAGGAATTTAAAAGAGGAAAATTAAGTTACTTGTAAGCAATTGCAGTGCCCTCTAAGGGGAACGAGATGCAGGAACACTCCGGCCTGCAGGCATTTGCAGTGCCAGGAACTGCATCCAGGAAACTCTCATTCACTAGATTTTCTCTAAGCAGTGTCTGTGCAGAAACAGATCTTTCAGTAGGCTCTTTAGGTAGAGGCTAAAACTTGATATAAAGCTTGTTTGGTGAGAAAGGTAAATGAAGGTAATTAGTGAAAGAAGTCCAGCTGCATGTCATGGGACAGGGAGGGGAAAGAAAGGAACAAGAGTCCCACGGCTACCTGGTTACTAAACATCTGCAACTAGAGACCACATGGATTTAAGATAAAGGCTTCCAATAAAGTATTACTTTCATTGTCTGAACCCTTCACTAATAAGAAAAAGAATAAAAAGCAGCTATAGTTTAGTTCATCATTATGCTTTGGACATTGACATTTGACTATATATGCTACCAATAAAGTAACTAGACATTTTTTTCTTGTTCTCTTAATTAAAACAATTGCTTATCAAATCATGCTTAAGTATTCATATTGCACTCCTCTAAAAAAAAGGGGCTGTTTTTCCTGTTCTCACAGTAATGAATTGGTGGGATTGAGCAGAGCTGAGGACACACATGTGCTTCTAGACTTTTTCAGAACAAAATTATGAGAGCAGAAAGAACAGAGAGGACCCCATATTTCATCCAAATACTTTGTTTTATAGTTTATTAGTTCCAAATCCAAGTTTCTCTTTACTGAACACGTTTTGTTCTTAGCTTTTCATGGATAAAGACTTGGGGCAATTAGACTTCCAACACTCCTTAATGAGACTTTTCAGAAGAAATGGATGAGGAAGCTGACAAATTATGCTCCAATCACTCCTGATAAAGAAGTAGTGTCCCAAATCCAACAAAAGACACCCCAAATGAACTTGCTGGTGGACAGGATTTTCTAGTCATTGAAAGCACACATCATAGAAGACTACTGCTTCAAAGGAGATGAGAGGCTTGGTTTAAGGGACAACATTATCCTTTGAGCAAAGGAACAATCAAGGTAAAAACTCTTTCCTACTCCAACCCAAAAGGGGAATTTCCATGTGCCTGACATGCTTCTAATCAAAAGGTAATTTTAATTTTGAAAAATAATTCTTTAGTGAGTAGGATTACTCTATTTATAAATAATAAAACTACTAAATATCATCATGCTTAGAATCACTTCCCTTAAGAAGCAAATTCACATCACAAAAACCTGCTTTGACAATCAGTGTAAAAGGCTGCAATTAAAAAGTATTTAAGCAATTTCCAGAAGTGTTCAGCTTTAGCCTAACTGTTCTCAGAAAAGGTTAAAGAAGTTATCATTAATTACAATACTAAAAATTTAGTATTTACAAACATGAAGATATTAACTGAGCTCTGCTTCTGTTTGCCTTCACACTTTTGTTTTGCTAACAGAGATGATACAGAACCACACATAGGCTGTTAATTGATCCCCTATCTGTATGTGCCTGGCCTATGGAAGCAACTTCATGAGCAGGCTGGTGTTTCTTCAAGTCTCACAGTAGTTCACTTCCAGAACTTTGCAGGATTTCTCAGGTTACTCAGAAGACAATACTGAGGGTGCTCCAGTGAAATCACACAAACAATTAAACCTCTGAGTTTTCTTTAGCTTTGTAAGATCCACATGAAGGAAACGGCATCACTTATTTAAAGTACCTGGCTATTGGAACATAAAACAATGGTTCCCAAACTTTCTGCATTGACAGACCATTGATGATTTTCAAAACTACCACTATTCAGCAAACCCTCAACTGCAAACACTTTCTATTAAGATTCCACAGAACTGTCTTGCAGTTACTATGAAAACACAGGAACATTGATAGGAACAAGAGTAGCAACCTTCCAGTGACATTTATTGCTTCTTTCCATCTGTTTAACATTTACCTGTCTTTAACTTTGCAATAAGTAGTCACAAACAGCCTGTTTAAATAGAAGTGTCCAGGGAACTGTTATGAAAGGCTATTCAAGTCATTTACCTTGTGGGGAGAGGGGAAAGGGGAGGAAAAAAACCCCAACTAAACCGTGACAGCTTTCCTCCCTCCCCTCTTTGCCCAATTCTGACTTGTAGACAGTTGAAAACTAATTCTCAATGCACTCAAAATTGTTGATGGAAAATGCTTGGATGAAACTAGAGCAATTAGAAGTCTCATAATTTTCTTGTTCCGTTGTTTTGTAAATTCCAACGAGACCGCTGCCTTTTCCAGCAGCTGTTTCCACATCCCAATCAGCTGCCAGATCAGAAATGTTCTCACTCTTCCTTAATTATATGACAGCACAACAAGTCCACTTGAAAGCCTTTCTGTGGCAAGTAAGATCCTTTTTAGGGCAAAGTCAGGCACATGAAGTAGCTCTCTGAAAAAAACCTCAACACTGTGGGGGTTTATAGGCTCTTCATAAAAATTAAAAGGGCAAATGATTCATTGTACAGATATTTTGTAATGGTTTCATGAGAGTGAACTAGGAATGTCCATAAATAGCTTCAAGAGGGAGTGAGTTATTCCAGTTATTTTAGTTAATTCAATAGCAAAGCTCTTATGCAAATAGGTACTTTTCTACTTATTCAGTAAGTTATGCTTTAAATCTTCAACTGAGTGAAGACAGAAGCAGCAACGAAAACATTTATATTAGCAAAACACTGCTTCTCCATTACTATAGAAAACTTGATTTCAGTCCTTTAAGTGTTCAGTTAACCCTCCCTGCCAGTTTAACGTGCCCTGGACAGAGCAAGTGTACCCTTGCTGTGCCAGGGGGCTGTTCCAATGCAGGGAGCAGCAGGATCACAGTTACCTGATCCTGGGCTTGGGCTCTTCAATGAACCTTTCTGGTAGAACTTAACACTTGTCTTGCATAAAAGAAGAATTTAGGAATCCATACGGTTTCAGCCTAAAGGGTCCATGGACTACCTTTATTTGTTAGCAGAAGAAACTAAGACATCGAGCCAGTTGGGACTAGTCTTCAGTTGGCATCTTAAAACTAAACCAATTAGAATTAAAATATAACTCTGACATGAGCTGAATTCAGTCTCTCTGCCATATAGTTTACACATGAAGGGTTGTTCCAGCTGTGAATTCAGTTCATGTGCCAATGCTTACAGAAAACCAATTCCTTCATATGCCTCCCATTCTGGACTTGAAAGTTCTGATATTTACTGAACATCACGCTTTTCAATTGAATTTTTTTGTTCAAATAAAAGGTGCTGCCAACCTCAAATTTATAACCTAAAATAAGACTATCAATCACTACATTATCAAATTCTAATTTCTTGCATAGGAAGTCACTGCATATACTTGTCATTAATTGCAAGTATTAGAGCAAACTCCAAACAGAACAATACCTTAAACACTCCTTTCTAAACTGCTTTGCTGAACTGATGTCTACTGGGAAATATCAAACTCCATTTTATATGGTTGGCAAATAGCAAAAGTAATTTGTGCAATTTTTGGAAGCCTTTCTGTCGTAAAATTAGGGAGTGTAAACCATTGCAGAAAAAAGCTCTTTTACAGGTCTCCTAAGTTGTGTTATGGTTTCCTGTCTTTCTGAATCACAAAGAACTGTGACATTCTTTTTACTTGTGTTCACAACATGAGCATAATTTTACAAATTTTATCAAATATCTACTTGTACAAAAAGCAAAGCATTAATTTTCAGTAGGCTAAATGTAGCAACTAATTAATATACCCCATTTTCCAGCTCATGAATATGTAAATACTACCTTGCTAATTAAGTTTTAAGCACATGCCTTCAGTGCAAAGAACAGTAAAAAATTTTAATTTTATAGCTGCAAAGCTCAAAGCTACAGCTCAGCAAGCATTCTAAATAGAGCTACAACAGGAATTCAATTCTTGATTGTGTTAAAAAAAACAAAACTACAGTCTTGTTTTGGTTAACCTGTCAGCTACAAACTAACAGTGGCATTTGTGACAGTGATGGAAGCTATGCAAGTAAAATTAGACAATGCTTAAAACATACCAGGGATGCAAGAATCCCTCCTCCCCACAGCTATTAGCCCTAACTTAAGTGCATGCTGACTAATTCTCAACTCTTGCTTGAAGTCATGACACGTAAATTCCTAGAGCAGTGTCGGTGAGTGCAGAGACTACCTTTATACACAGATTATTTCTATACTAACACTCAGAAGTGTGCTTTTATACTATATCACCCACAGGAGTCATTATTGATACTTAAATTTAACTCTTCCATACTACATGATTAAAGCCTTTGCATTTCAGCACTGTACTTCAATGTACATTTGATAAAAAACAGGTAGATAAAAAAAATTATACATACAGATTATGCACCTACATTTACAAAACTAAGTTTGTTTACCTTTTAGAAGAGCTACTTTAGCAATAGGTTCATTTAGATCTTGGTCATCCATTTGAGCATCTAAAAAAAAAAACCAAAAACCACAAATCTCGCACCTTTCGGAGAGCAGGCAGACTGCAGACAGGTTTCATTCTTTACAGGGGGAGAAGCTTTTATGTTCTTCTTAATTTACAAGAGTTAATTATGAGACTGCAGAATAGACAATACTGCTCTAAGCTTGTATCTGGCTCTGCATAATACACCCCACTCTTGTAAGAAAATACTCATGATTAATTAAGTGATTTAATTCAAACTAATTAGAGGTTACAGAAGCCTCAGTTCAACTCTCACCTGTAGTGTCGTCGCTGCTTTTTTCCTTGCTCGGGCTGAGAGTGTCCGACAGATCGTTGGATTCTTTGACTCGTGCCTGATTCTCTGCAAGAGACAAGGAAAAGCAACCACAGTCAGTAAATGCTTTGTTAAGAATTTCTCCTGTACACCCAAGTACAGCTAAATGTTAGTAGAAAGCGACCCAGTTCAAGAAACAGTTAAAAACCTGGTGGTAGCTTATTTCTTTGCAAGTCTGGGCTAAAATGGATTCCACATCCCTGGGTCATTAATCCACCCCGGCCTCTAATAGGGGATGCAACTGCCTCGTGCACAGCTTGAACTTGGGTTAACGCTGCGCTCCTGCCAGCTGGAACTGTGCAAAAGCTGATTCAACCCGAGAACAAATAAGAAAAGGAAACTAAAACAATGCAGATACTGTAGCAAGTCAGAAAGAAAGTGCTGTTAAGAATAAAACTGCTTCGGTATTTAGGACATACAAAATAATAGCAACAAGTCATGTACATGCTGTACTGTTAAAAAGAAGTGTGGTGTGAACCATTAAAGAACCACAGAGATATAAAATAATACAGGAATTTCTAGAAAGAATTTTCAGTTCAAATTGCATTAAGAGAAAGCAGTGTATGTCCTTTCCACCAAAAAAATATCTTCATCGAGTATCTGTTCACACATAATTCACCAAATTATTACAAGCAACTTAGTGAAGCCACACAGTTATTTTTGGTTTTGTTTGCTGTTCCTTTTTTTACTTTCCCAGTTCTAGTTTTTCAAGGAGAACAGACATTTTCAAAAGATGAGGGGACTTAATTATACCAGTGCATCTTTTTCCCCCACAGAACCTGACTCAAAGTCGAAATATTTTATGCAACTGAAATATTTTCTTTTTAATTTTTCTTAAATAACCATTTTGGTTTAGTTCTGATGGGTCCATTAAAGAATGCTACACCACCTCTGGTGTGGGCTAACCCAGGAGGTCTCTCAGTGAGGAACCAACATGCAGGTGAGGTTACACACAATGAAATCTTTCTAGGCTGAGTGTTCAGAGCCTTGGTTTGCCAGCATTGCTCCCCATTTGCAGATTAAAAGAGATTTCCTCTGAGTCTTGAATTCCAGGCAGAGATACATATAAAAAGGGGTCAATATAACATTCCCAGTACACAGACTTGACTTCTACCACACATGCAGAAAAGCATGGTGAACACAAGTCATTTCATCACATACAGATCATGTACATGCAGCAAAGAAGTACCAGGACACAGGAAGAAAGAAGGACATCAAGAAATAAATCAGGTTGGTTTTACCAACAGGGTTAGTATACGAAAATAAATAAACAACAAAGGAGACATGAGAAAGCTTTTTCAAATAACAAGAGAACAGAACTAAATTCCCTGCAAATGAAAGAAGTTAAGTTCAAACTGAAGACAACCCGTGCACCTACACAGGAAAATCAGTAAGATGACAAAACACAGACAGGTTAACAGAAAAAAAAAAGTTTTCTTCATCTAACATGAAAAATTCTCTATCTCTCTGTGCCAGAATAACATCCACTTGCACACGAAACAGAAGGCAACAAGTACAAACAAAGCAGCTGATGAAGAGCCAGACTCTTCCCATCCTAATGCAACCGAAATAACTGGAGAGGAGGAAGGGGAAAACACCTGTACAGTTAAAGTACATTAGGGGTTCAGACCTGGCAGCTATTCCAAACAACTCCCATGACTTAAGCAGACTTCAGAGTTCATCATGACTGGAGTAGTTAAAAACTCGTTATTTTAGCAAATAACCACCACCAAACATAAAGGGTATCTCCCTATTTTTAGGGATAAGGTTTTTAACTAATATCTAAAGATGTTACAGATCAAGCATTTTACACGTATCACACAGAACCAAGCTCACAGGATTGTCATTCAAACTGTAATAATTACTAAAAGTAATACATCCTTTTTAAAATATTAAGCCAAGTATAACCTAAAAGCCTCACCCATGGCAGTTCTATCAGTGGCCGATCCAGAAGCGCTAAGCTGAGCAGGATCTGTATCCAACTAACTTTACCATATCTGGGCATCCATGGAAACACAGCTTTCCTGCTCTCTGCAAAATGGGAGGAACTGGGCGAGCTCCAACCGCTGAATTAATGCTCTCTCCCCCACCTCCCCCTCATACTTCCCTCCTTCCCACCCACCCTCGGGTACAGCAGCTTCTTCCTCCCTCCTCCCTCTGGAACAAGGCACAAAAGATCAGGCACCAGAGGAAAGATGCATCTACATGTGAAACAGCAGAAGGCAAAAAGAGAAATGATTTAGAAACCTCCTTCCTATTCTGGAACCAGAGTCATAAGCACAAAACTCCTTCCTGTACTATATTACTTCCCAGCAGTTGTTCCGATTTCCCATAATAAAACTGAGCTGAATAAATATAGCAAAAGTGATGAAGTATATTAAAATGTGTTGACATCATACTTACTTGATGAGTTAGAATATATTACCCAATGCTAAAAATAGCTCCCAGCTTTGCAATAAGAGGCATGCAAGTGTTACATTACAGTTATTGTATGCATTCTTTGCCAAATATGGCACCCTGTCTATAGCTTCCTCACATACAGAAAGAAGTTAAAGGGGCAATTCCATGCACTGGAGGAAGATAAGAAATGAAAATGTCTCTAGAGTACTGGAACTTCTAACATGCTCACACTTATTCAACAGAACAACACTTTGCAGAAGGACAGAGGGTAAAGAAATGAGTTAGTGTGTCTAGACAGCAATAAAAAGCTACAAGAGAGGAGCCAGCCTTCAAGTCCAAACAATCTCAAGTTATTGGACACATGGGAAATATTGACCTCCACACTTTGTAGCATTCCTGACTGGCACTGCAAGATAAGGATGACTGTTCCTTGACAAGATAAGTCTTCTCCAATTAGCTCCTTTAATTTAACTTGCTTTACACATTAGAGAAGAGAGTTAGAGATGCACAGATATGTTTTACTTGGAAAAAGCACATTTAGGAGGTTAATGCTTATTTTACAGTTATGAGGGTCTAAATTAAAAAATAGTCAAATTAAAATACAATTTTATATAAAACTTAAAATGAGACCAAACATTATTTCTTTTTAGCCCTATAACAAAATGAAGATCCTGTTTGAAATATATGCAGACATTAAAGCTTGAATTCAATTTACAGAAATTATTGTGGTTTCATTTCTTTTAAAATACTTATTAAGGTCAGAACTCAGTCAATCCTGAGACCAGCATTTCATGTACTCAATCTTCCAAAATTGATTCCATGAAATCTTTTTACCCTGCAAAAGTATTTGGAGCAGAGTTCAGCAAACCATTTACCTCCCTTTTATTGAATTTCTTCTCAAATGCGTATTTAATCAAAACTCAAACTGCTGGCTTAACACAGAACATGCACTAAGTGACATAAAAAGCATGCTTCAAAAACAATGAAATAATCCAGAAGTCTAACCTTTCAAAAGCTTTGTTTCTTCCACTTTGGTTAGATGTCCTTCATCTATGATCTTGTCTGCCAAACAAAATAAGTGTTACTTTCCAAGCTCAGATTTAACAAGCTTTTCCCTGTACGCATCTACGTAGAGCACATTCCATGACCAAATTAAAAGCTGATAATATTACTTCCTACTCAGGCTTGAACAAAACTTTATTCTGGCACAGAATAATGAAACAGAGCACACAAGCCTACCAGAACTTTGTGATACAATGCATAATTATTTCTCCTTATTAACTTACATAATGCTTCAGTTCCCTAATGAGAATTTAGGAAAATTAATTTTATGTACTTTTTAAAAACCTAACCGAAAGTAATAAATTATGAATATATTTCTCAAGTTCTAGTTATCAAAAAAAAAATTTGAAGAGCTGGTTCCCTGAAATAGATGTCCACCCAATACAGCAGAAATCTAGAAATATAGCACAATGAAAGAGCAATAGAGAAGCCCCCTTCACACCACAACTGCTTTAACACTGCCTGGGAAAGGTATACAGAAACAGCCTTTCTTAGCTTAAATCTTTCAAGAGAGCTGCATAAACTGCCAAAAACTAGGAATCCATCACATTCAAGTTCACAAAAATTGAGTTTTTATATAAAATCTACTTTTTGGGAACTCTATTCATGTATGTCAGGTGCACAAAAACCTAAAAAGTTCAATTTGAGATTCCATTCCTAACTTCATCCTAACTCCAGCTAGGACATGAAGGCAAACAGGAGGACCAAGGGAAGAACAGGTTTAGATTAATCAAAGACACTACAAGAACAATTGTATCATTACTTAATTTCTTTTTTCAGATGAGATTTCATTATTGCAAATTCCTTAAGAAGCAACTAGAAATGCCAACATCCAAAATTATCGAGGGTCACATCTTGCAGATCACATTCTCAATTTCTGTGCAGTAGATCTTTCTATTTAGACCATGTCGAAAGCTGTTAATACCCCCCTGAGACATCAGGCTTGAAGCTGCCTCTGTCTTCCCTCTGTGCTTTCCCTGCCAGATCCTGGATAACCAGGCAGGGAGCTGACTTTGCTGCTTACTCCGCGTGCTGTTAACAGGTAACTGAGACAGCAGGAGAGTTCAGATTCAGGGAGTTGGGTGACAGTAAATCCTTTTCAAAATTTTGATTAAAAAAAAAATAAAATAGTGAGCTTTAGTCAGCATTTCCAGCTTCCAGCAGCTCTGAGATTAGCCTGTCCCTGTACTCCTTCCATGGCACGTTGCTGTAACCATGACAATCTAAGGACAGATGCAGGACAAGATTCGTGAGGAGGCACTTCTTTCAGCCCTAGGTGATAGACAAGCTTTCAGACAAAACAAAAACCCTGAGGTTTGAAGAAGAGTTTGCAGGGCCAAAAGCTTGTCCTGCCCTCTTCTCTCCCCCATTGCCAGGAAAACCAGTCTAAAAGAGATGTTCCCTCCAACTACTTTTATCCACAAATATTGCCCGGCATTCCTGTAACATTTTACTAACACTGCTTCAGAAATACACTGAACAGCACACTGGATTTTCAGGATTGGCTTCAGGTCTCGAGCAACTGTAGATCAGTCATCATCCAAGTTCAGGACAGCCTCGAGTTCCTCAGAGCTGGAGAGAATGACTGTCCCCAGACCGAGGAAGGCACCGTGGAGGGAATCAAGTTACTGCAGCCGTAAGTCAGGAGTCTGACTGATATCATGAGCCCTCTTCCATTTAAAAATAAAATAAATCTAATCAAAAGCCTTCATATATGATTAGTCCAGGACTTGTCTGAGGCTGAAAGTGGGGTGGAGAGGAAGGCAGCAAGAAAACAGCAGAAGAATTCTGCCTATAGATCTGAAAAAAATAGCTGAATGCAAACACCAAGTAGCGACCAACTGCTTGATCTAAAGGGGTAACATCTCATCTATGCTAGACTGCCAGCTTAAAATAGGCTTCTATAATCAGTTACAAGAGCAAAACTTAGCTTCATGAAATGATGGATCTTGTAGTTTTCTGAATGCAGTAACTTCTAAACCCAGAATAGTTACAGCACAAAGAACCAAAACTAACCTTCTCAAGGAAAATGTTTTCCAAACTGAAACTTTTGCAGCAGCTCTTTCCACTCAGGTCCCATGGCTAACAGAAACTCCATATATATATATTTTTTTTTTTTATTTCCACAGTGGCTGTTTTCTAGTGTCCATTATAGATTTCACCATTGGTGCACAAGGTTTCTCCTTCAGCCAAGACCTTGAGCAGCAGCACACGAGTCCCTTGCCCAGCCTGACCCAAAGCTGGCACAGCCAATGCTTTTCCCCTGGGGACTGACATCTCTCCTAACTTTAAGAACAAGTGGGAATTCTCTGTGTTTAAACAATGTTACTATTAGGGTATTTTGAAGCCAACAAAAAATAGTTGATTTCAGCGTGCTGGGGTGTATTTACGTAATACACAAGAAATTGGATGCTGGTATCACTGAATTACACAGAATCTTATTTTTCACTCTGTTACCACCCTAGTCACTAAAAATGGCAGAAGCCAGACAACAATCAGAAAGCAAAAGACACAGATATGCCTTCTTTAGAACATCTCTTTCAAATCTCTGCATCTTTACATATTGCTATTTCAGAAAACTTCACAAATGTGATTTATTTTTAAATGTTTTCCCTGAATCAAAACATGCAATTTTGGCTACCAAAATACAAATTTGGGTGAGGATCCTATCCTTAATTTCTGACACAAAAGAATTTTATCTTTCATGCTGCCCAGTCCCTACTTAAAGTAGTAGAAAGTAGCAGAGAGCTACATATAATAAATAAATGTTTTTATTGAAACAATCTGCTGTGAAGTTAAGCTTTCAGTTCATCTTTCATATATTCCTTTTTGCTGAGGAATGCAGTTCATAAGCAGCTTCCCTTTAGGTTTTTAGTCATTTCCTATCTTTTCAATTTAAGAACTCCCTTTTAGATTTGGGTTGCCTATCACTGTGTGCAATAATAGGTAAGATCTGTTAACATTAAAATTACCACTTAAGTAACATGCCACCTATACATTCTTGGTTTTGTACCAAAATAGTCTTTGAAGGAGGCCAGTTCTGAAAATCAAAGAAAACTTGGCCCTCAACACACAGATTTCTAACCATCTGAAAAAAGATTTACTTGCCACATGCAGGTCAAATAGAAAAGTTCAAAATAACCATTCAGTCCATCCAAAAACTACTAATAACAACTTCCTAAACATCAGCTTGGTAAAAAGGAAAAACACTGACTTGCATTTCAAATCGTAAGTATAAAATCACAAAAATAAGGGGGAAAAAATAAGGACACAAAGAAGAGTTAGATTGGAGCGAAAGACAGGAAGCTAGCAGGGCAAATCTCACTTCTGTCTATACATCATCACCATTTTTGGTAATAATTCACATTATGAACTGATCAAAAAGAAGCACCATGACTTTTGCTGTTGGTATCACTGATTTTCACCAGTGGTTATTGAAACAAAAAAAGCTATGGAGTGAGCAACAAGTGAACTGGATGCAATGATCAGAAAGTAACAAACTTTCCAGATCATTCAGAGCCAGATCTCATAATATTGTGCAGATGTTGCAAATCAGGACACATTACTGAATGAAATTGTGAGCATATTGTGCTTAAAAAATCAAAATAATTTAAAAATACTTTTAGAAACCTACCGAAGCTAGATTTTATAAGCTATACTACCAAAATCAAGCATTCAAGCTGCACTGTAACTAAAACTTCTAGTGTTCTGTTATTTCTGCCCCACCAAAAATACTCCAGCTTTAGTACCTCAGGATGTTTTAATTGCTCTTAACTGATGAGCACTTTCAACTGCCTTATACCTCCACAGCCACTGTTTGTATAAACACCAGACTGCTTCATCAGCTCGTTTTCCTTCTTGTGCTATCCTCCATACTCCCAATTCCTCTTCTCCAGCTGGTTTTCCTCATTTCTCTGCTTGTGTTTTCCCAATTTAAGTGCTTTTTCCCAGCACTGTGGAGGTGGACACTTCCCATGTAGTACAAGCACATCAACTCAGAACCTTCCCTTCTTGACCAACTGGATGGTTGTCTCAATTCTCCTTTGGCTTTAGATTTCTCTTATGGTTTGCAGATCCTAAAGTATCAGATAACAGATCCTGCATTTTGCAGTTTTTAACCTCATGACATTGTGAGGTCTGATTAAACATATTTGAATTTGGAAAAGGCAAAAACTTTCAGCCCAAGAATGAATTGCTGATTTGGAATCTTTTTTTTTGTTCTTGATGGGAAAGTAAAGACTTGGACTGTTGTAAGAAATGCAAAATCCTGAACCTTTGAACTCATACTCATTCTTTTCAAAGTGAGGCAATCGAGGTCCTAGAGTGTCTTCACCCTGTAGCTTTCCATCTCTCAAGAATGGGTAGGGCATAAACACATGGAACTTTGACTCTTATTACTCCTTTGATTACATTCCAGAATATCTTCCTAGATACTGAGAATTACTTTTCCTTCTCAATAGTTACAAGATTGGTCACATTTAGTTGGCAGAAGCGATACTAATGCTAAGTTCTGCTAAAACAGGTCAAGCTAACAACCAAATAATGAAAACAGGCAACCAATCCATATTTGAACATCATTCAATGTGCTCTTCATGTTCAGTCTAGACAAAAAAAAAAAGTTTACTCAAACATTTAACTTCATTTCTATGTACTGAATAGAGATGATTCATATGTGATCTTTGCAAAATTTAGAATTATTTTAAACAGCAGCCTGACATAAGACAGTTATCAGGCATTTTTAAAAGTAAACAGTTTTCAAATAAATAAAGTTTAAGTTTTCTTAGACAAACAGTGGCAGTACCACGTCATTTGGTTTACAGCACTGCAATCTCATCACCAGCAGTAAAGTCAGACGAGTCTGTTCCTCTTCCTCACCGAAATTTAAGAGGGAAGAGTCCAACAGGTATCATGTCAGAAAAAGATACTCTCTTGTTTCTGCTTCTAAATGTTTCCCTGCTCAGCTTTAGGTACATAATTTCAATAAACTCTTAAATAAAAGATTAATTCTTCATGCTACAAACCAGTTTTATTCAAAGTTCAACAGTACTCTTCTCTCTTCTTTTAATGATATTTTTGCCTCAGTACACAAGAAGTATTAACATCTTCATTTTTTATTTAATTTAGACTTGCAGACAGTGCCATTTCATTACTCATTTTCAAATCCACTTGCTCTGAAAAATGTATTTCACATTCCAGACTAACACATCTTTCTAAAGACTGGTATTGATTATTTATTTTCTACTGGTTTTTAAACAATCTCTTGGATTTCCACATAAAAACTACAGACTCGTTTTTCTTTTTATTCTTTGTAACAAATAATTTGAAGAACGTGTAAGGCCTTTAATTATGTGGTAAATTATTGATATGCAAAAATGCATCGTTATCTTCCATATCCTACTTCTGTCTGTGGTATTTGCTTGAACTGACAGAGTTAGGCTTTCAACTTCATTTGTAACAGAGGAAAAATTCCACTCAGTTTTCAACACTACGTGGCAACATCACCACCCTTTTGATGGTCAGGGCACAGTAATGGATTAAGTGCTACCAAGAGATGACATGACCATCGCTTTGCAGGAGCAAAGACACGCTCACTGCCCCTACAGACCCTGCTGGGTATCACAATGCCACAATTCTACAGAAAGATTAAATAGCAGTGACAATTCTGGTTTCCATCCACCTTTTCTGGGTTTTCTTGTTGTTTTTAAAGCAAATGTGAACACTCTTGTACTCACTCTGACATTCTATGAACTGATGAATAAAAGTGCAGTCCCCTCCACTCTTTGAAAGAAAGTGCTCTAGTAGAGAAAGAAACACTTAAGTTTACACCTTCTTATCATTTTCAAATTGATGCAACAAAAAAATTTGAAAGGCATATTAACAATATTTGTAATTGTGTATTCACAGTGAACTTCTGAAATCTGAGTTAATATGCAAGCAGACAAGACATGGAATTGAAATGATGTCTGAGTGATACTAGGAAATAGGTTTACTCTTTTGAACTGATCAGAAGAAAGTACTTCAATTGCCTTTTCAAAAGAAATGTGTATTTAACCTATATTCTTCAGCATTTTTATTCGCTTTAAAAGGGTATTTAAGTTTTTCATTAGTTTTCATGTTGATTCTTCATCTCTAATACCCTCTTGAAAAGAAAAATATTTATTTTAAAAGTGTTGTTGAATATGTCCCTTTACTTTTTAAACAGTTTCACTACACAGAAAATTTTTGAAAGGACAGTTCTACAAAAGAGATCCTAAAACTGGGCCCAGTTTCCAGGTTTACTCAAGTTGCTCCACATGACTTTGTTCAGCTCCCAGCTCCACCATACTCCTGCATCTCTTAAGTGAAAAGCTGCCAACACTTCCTTCTTGGAGAATCTCAAAAATCATTTGACCAAGAGTCCAGCAGTCTGAAAATGCTGCTTTTAGTATAAACCTGCACAGTGTGGGACATTCTAACCAAACTGTTCCATCACTAGCTCTGACATCAGAAGCTCAGTTGAAAAACTAAGCTTTACTATATTTCAAGGTTACTCTAAAAAGTACTTATTTTCTGTATTAAAACTTTTGTTTTTCCTTTTTACACGATCCTCTAAGTGACTGTATACAAATTTCTCATACCTTTCTTATGTAATACCTGGTTCACAAAATGTAAAGATGAAAGCCAGGTGTGGTGCAACTCACTGAGAAAAAAAACACTTTTGGAACAACACAACTGTTATCAGGGGCTTGATGTGTAAGCAAGTTCCTCTCTTCTGCACCAGCTCTTCTGTGGGTGCAGTGAGAGAAAATGAATGCCCAACCATCAGCATCTGAATACAGCTGGTTATAAAAAGCTTCTACAAAGGCTATAACGTGACTTTTAGTTCCTGTGCTCTGAACAGAGCTCTTGAATGCTGTGAGCAGCCACAGAAAAAAGCAGTGCAAAGCCCTTGTTCTTGCCATGGCCAGGGAGTGTCTGTACATACACCTTTAGGACTTGACCTGAAGTTCTGAGACAGACAAAAGGAATCTTAAAAAATATACTGATTTTACACGGTTGTACAGTTTTTCTCTTTTGTTGCCAAAGTTGCTCAATCTGCATTAGAATCTCAAAATTCTTAGCTCTTCTAAAATAATGCAAGACTATTTAGCAAAAAAAAAACCTACAAAAAACCAACCAACAGTAACTGTCTCCTGCTGCTTTAAAGAGAACAAAATCCAAAACCTGGCAGAGCAAATGAGTGCCCATCTGTCATACAAGGGCTAAAGGACCGGAAGATCCAGAAAGGCACAGACTGTGAT